CCTCTCACTGTTGTGGCCTCTCCCGTTGCGGAGCACAGGCTCCGGACGCGCAGGCCCAGCGGCCATGGCTCACGGGCCCAGCCGCTCCGCGGCACGTGGGATCTTCCCAGACCAGGGCACGAACCCGCCTCCTCTGCATCGGCAGGCGGACTCTCAACCACTGCACCACCAGGGAAGCCCCAACACACTCTTTTTAACAGCTGCATAGCAGGCTGTTTTATCCATGACCCCAGATTTATTTAATCCTTCCAATACACTTAGGTTGTGGCCGATTTTCTGTCACTGCAAACACATCTTTCATCAACACCACCTCTGGGTCTTTGGGCCTTTGGAAGGGTGTTCTATAGGCTGAAAGGGGGCTGCAGATCCAAGGCTATGGAGATGTGAAAATCTGAGAGGCACTTTCCCTTGCGGAAGGCGTGGTTGAAGGCTCCCCAGAGTACAGACAGACAGAAGTATAGACTTCTTTCTGCTACTTGTCAATTTCTCCCCAGGTATGGAAATACTCAGCAAAGTGGAAACAGTTTTATTAGTTGAAGTTTTGATACCTGAGTCCTCAGACCTCTTAGATAAGCACAGAGGGCTGATGGTAAAAAATCACCATGGAGGCCGAGGCAACACTGGTGCATCTTGTGCACGCAGCTCTGTGTTAAGTGCGTTAGCCACATTCTCTCCTCTCGCCCGCACCCTGGCCCCCAAGACAGTTCCGTGATCCCATTTTAGCAACTGGAGATACTGAGGCTCATGTGTGCCAAGTGAAGGATCTGGGATTCGAACCCGGGACATTTCCTCCTGTCCACAAAGCCATCTAAGTCTGCACTGTCTGATTCAGACCAGATTCTGGCAAACAGTGATGACCCAGAAAGGGGTCCAAGCAGGGGGAGTGTTGTCAGCTGCGAAATTCCAAAGGATGATTCATCGGGCATTTAGGATTTTGAAGTCTTATCTTCCCAGCTCTAAGGGAAGTTGACTTTGGGTCACTGAGATGGGACAGTGCTTTTGTGGACCTGAATAAACAAAGTGGTGAGGCTGAGGCTGGGATAAAGGACCCATCCCAAGGGCCAGACCCGTGTGTCTCCTCCTTCACCATGGGCCCCAGTGACCAGCTCAGACACAGAAGGATGCTCACAAATCCTGCTCAATGAATACCAGACAGTTCCAATCGTCCAAAGAGCAAACAACGAAACAAAACAGCAAAACGCCTTTTGACGTACCCCCGACACCCCAACGGGCTCCTGGCCGATCTGGCTGCCCCTCTGAGACCTCGACCGAGGTACCTGAGAGATTGTGGATGTCTCTGCAGCCAGACCCACATCTCCAGATGGCTGCCGTTCTACTTGCTCTGAACTGTTCATCGAGTTTTCCATTGAAGACTGTGAATTCTGCTCGTCAGAAGCATCTGAGGGAAAAAGCAAGACGACAGAAGCTGTTTTCAGACACGGGAGATGCGGAGCCAGATGGACCAACTACTAAAAATACCTGGAATTGGGTAGTTTTGTGGCCAGGCGGTCTGTCAGGACTGCAAGGAGGCTGGGAGGCTTGGGAAGTGTCTTGCTTATTCTTAGGGATCTCATTTTAAGCAGCCAGGACCCACTCTAGCCCTGCGGCCTCTGACCCTTCCCCTCGCACACCTATTACCTACCAAGTGCCCTGAGAAGCCACCTAAAGGATGCTACAGGATGCTTTGTGTTGCGTGCACCTGGCGCCCTCTGGTGGACACAGCACGCTCCAACCATCATGGCTGCTGACTCCTCCCTCTTCCTTTAGGGAGCCTGCCTTCTCCAGCTGGGGAATCCACAGAGGTAACTGCCCCTTTGTAAACATTTCTCTTAATAACATGGATATTTTTCTGATTGTCGTTGCAAGAAACAGAAAATACAGAAAAAAATTAAATCACCAACTATCTTGTCATCCACAGCTACCACGCCACTAACATTTTAGAGGATTTAGTTCCATCTTTCCAGATGTTTTCTCCCTACATGCATACAGTTCTACACTCTCCCCAGATAGGGATCTCACAGTATTTTGGAAGACTTTCACCAAAATACATGTCCTCAAAAATTCTGTAAATACAAGAGCCTACAAGATGGCTGCATAGCATTCTATCAAGCAATCACTTATTTAATGAGTCCTGTTTTGCCAGTCATTTGAGCTGTTTCTCATGCATCAGTCTCCCTGCTCTCCCCACCATGTTCCTTTAGCAGAAGGAAGGTGCAGGCCTTAGCAGGTTGTGTGAGGTGATGCGGCTTTGGAAGAAGGGGGAACGGCCGTTGTACCTGCAGCTTATTTTGGGCACAGAGCGCATGGAGGGAGCAGCCACATCACACCCAGGGCTCAGCTCTGCTTGCATTCAAGACACCAACAACATATGTCACCCTAATTTGTAAAAAGCGCACTAAAATACTCAAGAATGCCTTACTTTCTGGGGTTTCTGAGGCAGAGGCATAACAAAGGGGAAAAAAAAATTCCAGGCTTAAGTTTTAAAGCAGGCAAGCAATATGGGGAAATGGGCTAAAGTAGGCAGTACTCCAGGGCTTGAGGACAGCAGGGCACACAGGGCTGGGGACAGGGCAGGAAGGAGCTGCAGCCCTCCTCCCAAGGAGGCTGACCCTCAGCCCGTCCATCCCAGGAGAGCCTCGGTTAACACACGCTCTCACTTCCCCTAAACCAGCAGTCCTGATCACTCAGGGCAGTGCCAGGAAACCCAACACCCCACCAGGGTCTGAGCTGGGTTCTCCTGCCACCACGGGGAGGGTCAGGGGTCCACCTCACTGAGGCTCCTGGGCTACACCTACAAGCTGCTGTCTGGGGAGGGGGACACAGGGTCTAGAAACCGGCCTGGGTTCTAATACTGCCTCTGCCACTTGTTCCTGGGTCTCAGATCCCTCACCCTCCGTAAAGTCAAGGTTGACAGTAGCCGCCCTGTTGAGCCGCTGTGAGGATTAAATGGAAAGACAGAAGTATCCAAGCAGCAAAATAATCCAAGGTGGGAGTAAATGAGGGATTATCTAGGGCAGAGAAACAAACTCCCCATAAACCTGACATATCTTTGATATTTTTGGTTTTACCTTTAAAATCCATGTAACAGCAGTTCCTCAAAAAGTTAAAAATTGAATTCCTGTACGACTCAGCAATTCCACTTGTAGGACAGACCCACAAGAACTGAAAACAGGTCCTCAAACTGACACCTGTACACAAATACTCACAGCAACACTATTCACGACGGCCAAAAGATGGAAACGGCCCAAATGTCAATTAACAGATGAACGGATAAACAAAATGTGGTCCATCCACACAATGGAATATTATTCAGCCATAAAAAGGAAGGAAGCACTGACACAGGCTACAATGTGGATGAACCTTGAAAACATGATGCTGAATGAAAGAAGTCAGACAAAAGTCACATATTACACGACTCCCTTTATATATATGAAATGTCCAGATAATGTTTCTGTCTCTGTCCACAGAAACAGAAACCAGGTTGGTGGTTGCCAGGGACTGGGGGGAATGGGGAGTGACAGCCAAAGGATACAGGGTTTCCTTTTAGAGTGATGAGAACAGTTTGTAACTAGACAGAGGTGATGACTGCACAACATTATGAATGTGCTAAATGGTACTGAACTGTTCACTTTAAAATGCTTCCTTTATGCTATGGAAATTTCATCTCAATTAAAAAAAAAGAAAATATACATGTTAACATTATATTCTAGTTCATAATATCTGTTTGCTCTAACAAACCTTTGCAGTTGTTATCGTCCTCCTCCTCTGTGACTACAGATCCTTTTCTGCCCTACCCGGTGGGCTCTGCAGAGTGGAGATCAAGGTAAGGGCCCCGTTGCAGGCTTAGAAATCATGAAGGTGGCCAGTCACCCAGAAAGTCACACTAATCCCTTGACCGGCCCAAGAGCGCAGTGGGAACTGGCCTTAGAGCTGGCGGAGCGTTCCAGGCCTCGCTGCAGCGGCCTGATTCTCTTAACCCAACAGCACTGGAACCAGCTCAGGGGAAATTATTTTCCGAGGGCCTAAATTTAGTCCAGGGAGTTTGGACATTATGTCATTCCCTGAACTCACTCAGCAGTAAACAAGTTCAAAGCAAGGTCAACAGCTGGCGACCAACCCGCCCTGTCCCGCAGGCAGTAGGCCCCAACCTGGGAAGGCCCGAGGGTCTGCCTCTTGTCCTTCGGGCAGGAGCTCGGCAGCCCCGGGCTGTGGGCAGTCAGGCCTGGCTGCCAGCGCGGTCCCACCTGGTCAAAGCTGGGCAACTGTGCCGGCCCAGAGGCCTGGCCCGGCCAGGAGGGACCCCGGTGTGGCTCCCACCTGGACCTGTGATGGGGCGTGGGGCTGTGGATGGTAGGGAGAGGTTGTGGAAGCACCAACCCCAGACGTAATCCCGCTGCCGAGTTCTACTGGATCCTTTAGGGCAAAGCAGCCGCAGACCCCGAACATGGGAGAAACGAGGCTATGGCCAGAAAGTAAGAAGCCACTGGGACTTCCTGGCGGTCCAGGGGTTAAGACTCCCAATGCAAAAACAAACAAACAAACCCAGCAAGCAAGAAGCCAGGAGTGGTCCGCACCGGGCCCCGCAGGCCCCGCCCCCAGCTCCCCCAGGATCGCTCCGCCCTCCCGCTGCCCCTCCCCCGCGAGCCCCGCCTCCTTTCCAGCCTCCTGAGGAGAGGCAACTTTTATTGGTCTCATCTTATGAACAAGGAAGCAGGAAGGCACGCAGCAGGTGATGCCGCTGGCCTGAGGCCACTCGGCCAGCAAGGGTTGGCTCAGATGTGACGAGCTGTCCTGTGTCCACGGCCCCGTCCCAGCACCTCCCCCCGCCAGGCCTGGGCGGGGGGGGCCCCATGGGAACGAGAGGGGATGCCCACGTGCTGTACATGGGAGAAGGCGGCGCCAAAGTCCCTGGGACAGAGTTCTCAACTGGGGACGATTCTGTCCCGTGCTCCCCCGGGGGACATTCGGCCCCATCTAGAAATATTTTTGGTGTCACGACTGGGGGTGGGGCATGCTACTGGCATCTAGTGACAGGGGTGCTTCTTAATACCCCGCCACGCACAGGACTCCCCACAGCAAAGACTCATCCGGCCTCACATGCCCACAGTGCCCAGGCTGAAAGGCCCTGCTCTGCCGTTCCGCCCACCGGCTCGCTGGAGGAAGACCCCGCAGGGCCTACAGAGGGCGTGCCCTTCGTCTCCACAGCCCCCTTCCAGGGCCGCGTCCTGCACACCCACTCACACCTGAGCAAAGAAGCAAAGAGGCGTGCACACAAGACTCCCTCCAGCACTGTCGGTGTAGGAAAAGGACAGAAACAACCCAAATGACTACCAACGCGGGGACTATTTAAATAAGTCATGGCACATTCACGTCATTCAATGATAGGCTGGTAAAGAAAATAAGACAAATCCGTGTGTCCTAACGTGGAATTATCTCCATGGTGATGGCTAAGTGAAAGCATTCTAAAGAGAAAGGTTATCATCTTATACAGATGCTTCTAGGTGCAGACTGTCTCTGGAAGGCTACAAAACAGACTCAGCAGTGGTCCGCCCTGAGGAGGGGGACGACCCTGGAGAGCTGGGGGCACACTTCAATCTGCATCCTAATTCATGGTTGTTTCCCCTGTGTAGGGTTACCTGCACCCCCTGCACAGAGGTGCTCCTGGCACATGGGCATCTTCCCCCGCAGGTCCCCAGGCACTGCCCTGCAGTGCCTTCTGCCTGGGTTGCTCAGTTCCCTCCTATCTCTGCTCATCCTTTAAGACTAAGTCAGACAGCACCTCCTCTGGGAAGCCTTCCAGGCTCCCTTTCCTTACTGCATCTCACTGTGAGCTCAAAAGCCCCCTTAGGGGCCAGGCAGTGCCATGAATGAGACAAATATTTAATTCAGACACAAGTAAGCTTTGTAAAGAAAATCTAAAGGAATATTCTCTTCTTCCTCAAAGAAATGTGCATTCCCCCAGCCTCTCAGCCTTTTACTTTTCCACTCTTACTAGAGAAAAAGGTGCAAGAAACATATTAACTTTCCTTTTAAATCAACAATGAGAAAAACAGGGAATTCCCTGGCAGTCCAGTGGTTAGGACTCTGCGCTTTCACTGCCAAGTGCCCGGGTTCAATCCCTGGTCGGGGAACTAAGATCCCACAAGCCACGCAGCCAAAAAACAAACAAACAAAAACGGAAAACAACAGTGATCTCACGGCGTAATACATGGTAACTGCCTTTGGCCTCAGCGTCAGGGAGACAATAGGGCGTGGTGAGGAGTGTGGTAACTGGTGAATGTAGGTCCTCTTGGCCCTCTCTGGAGAGGCAGCCACATCTCTGCTCTAGCTGGTTGCTTCTCAATGGAAATGCAGGTCCAGTATTGCCAGATCTTCCCACTTTTCAAGAGAGGCTGGAAATCGATCTTATTTTAAGTGAAATTGCTCAACTTTTCAATTTCGGCATCGACAACCTGCTGTAAAGCACAGGGAGCTCAGCTCAGTGCTCTGTGATGACCTAGATGGGGGGGAAGGGGGGGAAGGAGGTCCAAGGAGGGGATATAGGTATACATATAGCTGATTCACTTCACTGTACAGCAGAAACTAACACAACACTGTAAAGCAATTTTACTCCAATAAAAAAAAAAATTTCGGCATCGAGTTCCAATTAAAAACAAAAACACCACTGGGCTCCATGGTCACACCCGCACACCACTTGCTCGATCTAGTCTGTCTGCGACCTCTGAAGACTGTAATTCTCAGCTTCAGTGCTTGTCTTGCCCATGAGTTCTTGGGAGTCAGGAGTGGGACTCAGCTGATTGTCACCCAGGACTGGCATGGAGCTTTGCACGGGGCTGATGTGGGTGAAGTGTGTGGAACGGAACGGAAGGGGATGTGAATGAACTCCGCAACACAGGACGGCCTTCTCCCAAGGAGATGCACGCCCTCCCCAAGCATCTGGAATCCCAGACTCCAGGCCAGCTGCCTTGCCCCACCAGGTAAGAGCATATCAGCCCAGACCTCTCCCTGGAACCCCCAACTCTGCACTCGGGCATCTGCAGGCACTCCGGATGGCCCTGGCCCTGCCCCTCCACACTCCACACCCCACTGGCCCTGCCCCTCCACCTCTCCCATCACAGGTGGGGGCGAGGCCGTCCCTCCAGGTGCCGAGAGTCACTCTCCAGTCCCCTCTCTCACAGCCCACACACCGCCCATCGAACACACTCTCACCTCTGCCCCCGAAATACACCTCGATATTAGACAATCAGGGACTACTGTTCAATTTCTTAGGTGCAATAATGGTCATCGTGACTACGTAAGAGAATGTCCTTATTTTTAAAAGATGCATGCTGAAGTGTTCAGAGACAAAACGTCATAAGGTCTACAACTCAACGTCAAATGGCCTCAGAAAAAAATACTTTTAAGCAAAGCAAAAAAACACAAAAAAACACAAAAAACCAAACCAAACCACAACCCCCCTCCAACAAAAACCAAAAACCCCAAAACATTAAATATTAACAACTGACGAGTTTGGCTGGTGGGTATACAGGAGAGTATTATACTATTCGTTCAATTTTTCTGTATACTGGAAAATTTTTCATTTAAAGAGAATCCAGAGGGACTTCCCTGGTGGTCCAGTGGCTAAGACTCTGCGCTCCCAATGCACAGGGCCAGGGTTCGATCCCTGGTTGAGGAACTAGATCCCACATGCCACGAACAAGAGTTTGCGCGCCGCAACCAAAACCCAGTGCAGCCAAATAAATAAACATTAAAATAAATAGATAAATAGAAGACTCAAGGTTAAAAAAATAAATACACAAAGAGAATCCAGAAGCCTCAAAATAAACAAACCTATAAATACACATAAACATGTATACACACGTCCTCCACAATCAGCCCCCTTCTTACCACCTCATCAGCCACCATCCTCTCCCACCTGGACAACTACAGTAGCCCCCTCGCTGGTCTCCCTGCCTCTGCCCTGGCCTCCCCATTGTCTGATCTCAATCACGGCAACCAAAGTGATTCTTTGTATCACGGCACTCAAACTCCCAAAGGCTCCTGTCTCACTCAGCATAAAGACCCGGGTCTGTGAAGTGGCCTATGAGCCCCGACACTCGAGGTCCTGCCTCCTCTCTGGCCTCACCTCGCTTGTTGAGACCCTCATGCCTTCTTCTCCAGCCATGCTGAGCACGCTCCTGCCACAGGGCCTTTGCACGGCCCCCAATGTTCTTCTCCCACCTGGCCTGCTCCCTCCCCTAACCTGAGCCTCGTTTGCTCTCATGTCAACTTCTCAGTGAGGCCTTCCCTGACCATCCTATTTAAAATGCAACCCTAACCCACTCCCCTTTCTTACTTTATAATTCTCCAAAGCACTTATTTTCCAAATATTACATTGTATGATTTTTTTTAATTGCCCCTCAAGAATATGAGCTCCAGGTATTACCTTTCTTCTACCGTCACCTTCTGGGGACTGGCACTTGGCAGGACATCCTTAAAGACCCTTCCAACTGCCTGGCTGAAGGCTGGCCGGAGAGAGGCCCCTCTGAGCCCAGCCCCTGAGGGCACATACCTTCGGCCCCGGGGAGCTCCTTCCCATCGGCCTGGGCCTCATCCGCCTTGGCGTCGGTGCCATCACCGGGCGCGGCCGAGTTGGGCTCGGGAGCGGGGCTGGAGTTGCTGCTGTTCTCCTGTTTGATGGGGGAGGCGTCTGCAATGGAGCTCTGGTTGCTGTTATCATCTGCACGGGGGGAACAGAACCACAGCGTGAAATGCCGCGGCTGCTGACTCAAGGCAAGTGGGGGGCTCAGTCCCCCCGGCCTTGCTGCCCGCAGCCCTACAGGACGCTCTCCCGGGGGAGGAGACACCTCTTCCTCCTGAGGCCCCTGAGCTGCCCACCCAGGGCCGCCCCACACATCCTGCGTGGGGTGGAGGCTCATCTGAGCTCCCCCTCCACGACTCACTGAGGGGACTCCTGTGTTAGCGGCAGCCGACCGCAGACGGTGGCCCAGCACATTGAAAATCTTTGGGCAAAAAAAAAAAAAAAAAAAAAAAAAAAAAAAAAAAAAAAAAAAAAAAAAAAAAAAAAAAAAAAAAGGGGACTTCCCTGGCAGTCCAGTGGTTAAGAATGTGAGCTCCCACTGCAGGCAACATGGGTTCGGGTTTGATCCCTGGTCGGGGAACTAAGATCCTACATGCCACACAGCGCGGCCAAAAATAAATAAATAAAACAAAATCTTTGGGGGTCACTTGAGGTCTCATTCTGGGTGAAGAAACCAGACATCTTGTGGGCCTGGCTCGGAAGCACTGCAAAGGCCAAAGCGTGGTCCCACAAGGCAGCATTGTCAAACCGTTTCATCGGATCTGATCCAGCTCTGGACCAATTCCACTTGATACAAAATAAAAGGGAGAGAAAGGGCAACAAGTTCACAACAGAAAGTGGATATTCTATAGGACTATGGCCCAGGCTTTCCAACAAGTCAACGCAACTAAAGAAAAAAATAAATAAAAGGAGAAGCAGGGAAGATTACTGTCGTATTACAGATTAAAGAAATTTAAGAGACCTAACAACTAGGCGTGACGTATGGAATTTATCTGTATCCTGTTTTGAATGTGCCAGCTCTGAGAGACATTTTGGGACAAATGGGGAATCTGAATACAGTCTGGAGTTTAAAAGTAAGGAATTAATTTTTTTAGGAGTGATAATGGTACAGTGGGTAGATAGAAATGTCATTTATCAGTGATGCGTGCTGAAGTGTTTAGGTACAGACTTAAGTATCATGATGTGGGGAAATGTACTTTAAAATCTTCTAGCATGGGTTGCATACAATTGTCAGAATTCCCTGAATTTTACACTCGAGAGCTGTGCATTTTTTTACTTGTAAATTGTAGTTCAATTAAAAAACTTAACACATTAAAAAAAACAGATGAGGCAAATGTGGCATAACGTTTTGAAAACCTAGGTGGGTAGACATATGGGTTTCAGCATACTATTCTCTCTACTATTCTCTATTATGACATTTTTTCTTAATAAAAAGGAAAAGGGGAAGAAAGTTAGCTGGGCAAGGGCATTAGGGGTTGAGCTGGGGGGCCAAGCTGGGGATCCTGGGGCACATCCCCCCCTTGCCCTGGATACCCTTTCTTGGGCACAAAGAGTCATTTTATTTTATTATTTTTTTGGCCACACCGTGAGGCTTGTGGGATCTTAGTTCTCTGACCAGGGATCAAACCCGGGCCCTCAGCAGAGAAAGTGCTGAGTCCTAACCACTGGACCGCCAGGGAAGGCCCCACAGTTTGCCTTTTGATACTGAGTTATTCCCCAAGGGGGTGCACCATTCCTGGGGGTACTGCAATGCCAGGTCGATGTGTAGAGGGGACACACATCCACACATAGCAAGCTCCTATTCCAACCGCCTGCTCCAAAAATCCGTTCAATATATTGTCCTTGGATAGAGGACGTATCAGATATTAAACTGATAAGAACAGATACTACACTTGATCTTAGCTGAAAGGCCGAGAAGCGAGCAAAGAGTCATTTTAAACTACAGATACCCATGTGGTGTTACCCTGCTTTTCTGGGCCATGCTGTGCACCTGGGACCAAAGCCATTTTTGTAAAAATGAGAGAGAGAGAAAGAAAGAAACAGACAGGGAAGGATGGAGAGGAGAGAAAACGAGCAGCACATCGACACATCCAGGGCACCTACTACATGCTGGGCACCAGGCCAGGGCATTTACAGTCACCTCGTTTAATCTCAACAACCTCCCAGATGGGGAAACTGAGTCCCAGCAGCAGAGCCCCTGGCTCGGGCTGGTCTGCCCAGCCCCAAACCCCGAGTCTTTCCTCTACCTCAACCTGGTGAGGAAGCGCCAGGCAGCCCTGCAGCCCTGACTTGGTAAATTGCATCTTATTTTAAGTGTACTCTGGGGCGCTCATTACACAAAAGCATCCTCTCGTGAATTCTGGGACTTAAAAAAATAAATAAATAAACTCCCTCGATTTACCTTTCGAGAAAATCTCAGCCTCCTTCCTTCCTATGCCAAGATACATGGCCGTGTGTGTTGGAAGCACAGAAGGCAGAGGCTCAACCTATGGGCCCCAGCATTAGCATTAGTCATATGCTAATTAAGGACAGTAAGCGCTAATGTTTAACAAGTCAGCTGCCCTGAGCCTTGCCTGGTAACCTGGTAACGGTGTGACCCTGATGCTTGGGCTGACTTCAGGTGGATCCTGGAGACTAAACAGCTGGATGCAGATGCCCTGTCCCTTCATGTCCTCCTGTGCCCATCCTCCCGCCTGCAGCCTTCCAGATAACTCTAACCAGGCCCATAGCTTTCCCTGAACTTTCACTCCCTGTAGTCGGACTTGGTCTTTCTTGGCTGCACAGGTACTAAAATGGAAGGTGAGCATGGTTCCTGAGTCGGGGACCTGGGTTGCTCAGTATTCTAGATTTTTCTGGGGTGTTAAGTCCGGGCTAGTGGCCGTGAACTTGAATTCTGCCTCCTCCAAAGGACCGCAGATGCCAGCACTGGCATTTATGAACTTCCTAACTCTGGACAAGTTACTTCCCCTCCTTGAGCCTTAGCTTCACCATCTGTACAAAGGTGGCTCGTCACCAGGATTAAATGAGGTAATGCCCAAAATGGGCTGAGCAAGATGCTTGGCACAGTGACGGCTTCTTAAATGTTAGCTACTGACACGCCAAGGCCTTTAAGGGATTATCTTATTCAATATTCATAATGACCTTGTGAAGTAGGCATTACCACCCCAAGGCCACGTGTTCAATACCTAGCCCAGGATCACGCCACGATGGGTAGATTCTAGGAGAGTCGCATTAGAATCCAGGTGGGATCCCGCCCTCTGCTCGAAAAGGTTCTCACCTGTAATTCTACGAATTAACTGAAACTGAGCCAGGCCAGGGGCCTCCTCGGTCCCCAGAGTGGGGATGCTAACCAGTGACAGAGGGACAGGGTACGTCCCAACTCAAATACCTATTTCTGAAAATGAAATGCATCCCGACTAAAATTATACGGCCAGTTGATGGTGTTGGGGTGTGTGTGTGTGTGACACTTTTTGACAGGTTAACTGTCAGCGAACACCCCCCCCCCCCACCCGCG